TATCTAGAAGAACGTTTCAAAAGAAGAAATAGCTTGTGCAAAATTCTCCAGTTCAGAAGGGTGGTTGGTATATTTGAGAAACAGCAAAAAGACCAATATGGCTGGAGAAAAGTGAGTCAGAAAGAAAATTGGGGGATATAGATACTATTGGTGCTTACATATAGGAGTATTTAGTCTGTAAACAAAGTGGAAATGAAAGTAGCACCTTTTCGTTTTGTCCAGCCTATTATTCTTTTTTTAAACAAAAATAAAATTGTATAACTTTTGTGTTGTTAAATAATTTTTATTACTCTTGTCAGATATATAACTGGTAAATATTTTTCTTCCACTCTGTAAGTTGACTCTTCACTTTGTTGATTGTTTTCTTTGCAGAAGACTTTTTGGTTGATTTGATCCAATTTGCCCATTTTTTGCTGTTGTTAACCATAATACACAAGAAACTGAAACAGTTTATCAGGAAAAAAAAAGCCAATCACAAAATGGAAAATCAAATGGAACTGTTATCTAAAGAAGACATGAAGATGAACAAAAGCACATGAACAAATGCTCAACATCACTAATCATCAGACAAATGTAAGTCAAAATCACAATGAAGTATTACTTCATGCCAGTTAGAATAGCTATTATATATTAAAAAAAATCACACAGCATAACAAGTACTGGTGTTGTTATGGAGAAGGGAAACTTGTGTACACTTAGTGGGAATGTAAATTTGTATAGTCATTGTGGACATCAGTAGAGTGTTTCCTCTATACTAGAAAGAGAACTACCTTATATTGTTATCTCATTGCTGGATATATAATCAAGGGAAAGGAAATTAGTCTCATATTTATTGCAATGCCATTTACAATCAATAAGATATAGACTCAACATAAGGTATCAACCACTGATGAATGGATAAAAAAAGTGATATATATATATATAAATATATATATGTATATATATATGTGTGTGTGTATATATATACAACATATATTTTTTAAAAAGGTTAAAATGTAGTCATCTGAGGCAACATGGACAAACCTGAGGAAATAATGCTAAATAAGATAAATCAGATACTTAAAGACAAATACCATATATTCCCCCTCTATAGTGGAAACAAAACTATTCAATCACATAGAAGCAAAGTCTAACAATTGCTACTGGAAGATAGAGGAGGGGTGAGGGATACAGGGAGAACTTGGTTAACAGATACAAGAGTGCAGTTAGACAAGTAGAATTAGTTCTAGAGTATGGTAGAATAATGATAGTTGGTGATAATTTAAAGTATACTTGAAAATAGATCAATGGATTTTAAATGTACAGAACAGAAAGTAATGATAAATTATTTTGATGGTGAAGGGCCAGGAGATGGCTTGATGGTTAAGGCTCTGGACTCCCACATAGCCAACTGCCATTCGAGTGCTAGATCCAGTGACTTGAAACTCACACAGGGCACATGTGCATTCACACCCAGAATCTTGAGAGAAGAATAGAGAAGGGATTGTGATGTGGCCATCACCCTGGGAGGTTATTTCTCACTTTCTCTCTTTCTCTCTGTCTTTCTCTGTGTCTCCGATGAGCTCACACGCCCTATAGCAAAAATCTCTCTTAAAAAAAATTCTTGTGATGGTGGATATGTTTGTTGCCCTAATTTGATGAGTAAACAATGGAGATATGTATCCCATAAATGAATATAACTATTACATGTAAATTACAAATTATAAAATAATAAAAATATATTTTATTACAATATATGAAAAGCAGAAATCTGAAAAGCAGAAATAATAAGTGTAAAGGTGAGGGACATTCTTGCAAGTTCTACATAACCTAGT